TCTGCTTAGGCAGTAAATCCAATGACCAGTGAGCTCTTTTCCATTGAAGTATCAATACAAATATTCATATTATTTTACAAAATAAAATGCACTTATGTTTTGGCCTAAGTACTCCCATTTATAGTGTTACATAAAAGTGTTTACCACTCAGTAAGTTTACCATTATGAGCAAGCTGACAGTTGGAAAATCTCTGTATTGCAAATGTGAATGCTTCTCCCAGAATTGGGCAGTCACTGTGCCCAGACACTTGTGTCTTTTTTCTTTCTTTCTTTTTTTTCTTTTTTTTTTTTTTGTGGTACACGGGCCTCTCACTGTTGTGGCCTCTCCCATTGTGGAGCACAGGCTCTGGACACGCAGGCTCAGCGACCATGGCTCACGGGCCCAACCGCTCCATGGCATGTGGGATCTTCCCGGACCCGGGCACGAACCCGTATCCCCTGCATCGGCAGGCGGACTCTCAACCACTGCGCCACCAGGGAAGCCTCCAGACACTTTTTATACTCAGGAGGGGTGCAGTCGTGTTTGTATAGGTAATGATATAAACTGCAGACACATATTTTGCCCTTAAAATAGCATTATTCATTTTGAAGCAGAAATGCTGCATTGTCCTTGGGGCAAGAAAACTGAGAAACACATACTATCTGCCACCCATGCTCATAATTATTAAGTCAGGGATAGGCTTTTGTATTTAGAACAAGAGATATAGAATAATTTTTCTTTTTAACTAAGAACGATGAAAAGTGAAATAATCTCTGAGAGTATATACTATTATATTTTCCTGAAGATACGGATGTAAAAATCAATTTTACATATTCTAAAATTAGACTAAGAAAAGGAGACAGACAATTTATGTTATCCAATTACTACATAATATATTAACTAGTAAGGCAGAATTATTTTCAGTTTAGGTTTAATTTTATTTTCCCCAGATTAGATGAAAATCACTTGGTGCTGAGAGGGAAAATGAAATGAAATTAAAATATATAAATCTTTGAAATAGTGACTTTTATTTTCATTAACAAACTCAAACTATTACAACTGCTATTTTATAGCAGAGAATGGTAGTGTTAAAACTGGTCAATGTTTCTAGTCGTGTATATTGATGTATTTAAAGATTTGTTTTGTTCATCACCTTAAAAATTAGTCTAATATGTTATTTTTATTATAATTTGAAATCTAAAATCATCTTTGTTTTACATGTGCATTATTTGACAACATTCATTCTATAAGCATTTATTTATTTTTATCATATGTCAGATATTAGAGTAGTACTATGAGTTTAACACCACAATGATTTGATCACTTTTTCTGAATTGCTAATGAAAACTTTTGGTTTACTGATTTTAATCACCAAACAGTATTTTTTTAGCATCTGGTTACCTTATTACAAATGGACAGCAAATCTATATGGGACACAAAGGATGTTTTCTTCATCTCTGTGAGTTTTTCTTTTTTCAGTCTTACCTACTGGATTTTAATTTGCCTGTTTTATAGTCCCTTATTCTGTTTCCATTTTCTGGCCCACACCAGTACAAGGACATTTATCTTATTTATTTTTGATAGTGTTGACTGAAAAAAATGCACAGCCTAAGAATTGAGTATCATGTTTTATTCGGTGTACTTGCTGAGGACCTACGCCCGGGAGGCAGCTTCTCAGATCTCTCTGAGGGACGGCTCCCAAGAGGAAAGGAAGGAGCCAGGATATACAAGAGTTTTTGCAACAAAAACCATGTATTCAGAACATCAAAAGATTACTGTTAATTAAAGCAAAAACAGACATCTCAGGTTAATGGGTTTAGTACTTTTCTATGTATGGGAAGACACCAGAGTCTGGGCTCATTGAAATCATTCTTTGACATGCACCTTGACTATCTAGTTTTCTAGCGAGTAATCCTGTATCCTGTTTTCTCCATTCTGAATTCCCTCAAGGTGCACAGATGGTGGTGGCCACAGTGGCTGCTGGCTTAATGGCTGTAACACTTTGTTTACTGATACGGCAGATGACATTCTTTGCCCACAATAGGTATGATTGACACTCAGCATCCATTCCTGTTTATTGTGGTTTCTGTACTGCAGAGGCAAGGACATTAAAAACTACAATATCTAAACTCCCTTGAAATTGAAATTGTAAATATAAATTGAGTTCCACCAATATAAACATACCTGAAATCTGGAGGATATCGTGGAGGTCTTTTCTGGGTGTCTTAGCAGTTTCATCTGGTGGAGAAGGTCATGGACATGTGGGGTTTTATGCAGCAGATTTCACTATTGAATCGCTGACTGTGTATTAAAAAGCAGGACTGGCAGAAAGACTGCAATTTTGTGTTGAGTCACCAGCTTCAGGGAGAGGTAGCTGGGAAGGAAGTGGTGGCAGCTCTTGGGTACCCAGCTTCCCTCAATTAGTGCAAGGGGATCTTGAACTCAGTCATTCAATTGTGGCTTTTATGCTTCTCACTTTCCTGCTTACAACTGAGGTGGCATCTCCCAGAGAGTCAAATCTGTGGTTCTAGAAGTGACCCATACAGCCCTTCCTTCTAATAAATTGTAGTGTTTTATTCTGTTATTAAGGCCCCTTTTGCTTAGAAACCTAGAGTGATTTCTGTTTCCTGAGCTGAACCCCTACTAACTTTTATTCTATCCTATTTTCTTGATTTTGACCAAGACATCCTTACTGTTCCCCTCAGCTTAACTAAACTTTAGACAGGCTTCTTCATGACTCTATGGCACACTCTCTCTTTCTTTACAGCATTCACTTTAGAAAACTAGTAATTGTAAATTCTTCTCCATCCCATTGAGGTTGGAAATTTCTTGCAGGCTTTGCCAATTTTACAACCCAGGAAAGTCTTTCTCAAGGACCTGAGAGTCAGCACTTTGATGGAACCATAGAAGGAGGCAGTGACACTCTCTCCGCTCCAGGGAGGGGTGTGTCTAATGTCAGTGAGTGACCATTAACCACACAGATGGCCTGAGCACACTAACCAACATTCCCAGCCCAATATCCACCAGCATTTTTCCACTCGCTCATCCCAGCACTTGAAAACCCTTCCACCTACATTTGGTTCAGTGCAGTTGTGTTCCATAGCTCTCCCTTAATTCAATAGTTTTTTTCTTTTATTGTAATACTCTTGAATAAAAATTTCCTTGTCTTTTTACTGGTCTGGTGAACTCTTTTTCTTTCCCTCTTCCTATCTTATGGTTTAGAGTTTGTAATATCCTTCACAGTACTAGAAGGAAGAAAAAAGCTACATTATTATTCTTAATTGTTTAAAATATATTGTGGACTGTTTTATTCAATCAAAAGAATATACAAGCAATTTATAATGTATATTTATTGTATAAGATAATATAATAAACCTTGTGTACCTTCCATCTGCTTCAGGAAGTAACATTAGCAATGAGTTTAGCCTTCTCGATATCCCTCTCTGAACACATTAGTATCTCCCACCCTGCAGAAACAATTCTGAATTTTATATTCAACATCCCTTTAGTGTTCCTTAGCATTTTATTATATGTGTAGATATCTCTAAGTGATGTTATTAAGTTTGTGTGTATTTGACTTTTATAGGGACAGTTATCAGAATGTAAATGTTTTTACAGAATTTGCTGTTATGCAAAACAGTATGTTTGCAAGATTCAACCATGTGAATGACTGGTTGTGGTGGTTTTTATAAGCCCTCCAAAAATGTTTTTCCTGAATCACCTCTTATAGCCTGATGAACAGAGATGCCCACAGGATGTTCACTACATGACAGAACATTACAAAGTTGAGAGTCATGGACTGGTCTTTGGGCAGCTACTTCTAACTTTGATCTGGGTCCCCCAAATTTCTTAAACTTGCCTTGTTATTTTTCTTCTTATAATGTGGTATTGCACAGAAATCATTTCTAAACCCCCCAGAATACTTATTTAATTTTCTCATACAATTTATCAGGGAGAATGATGAGAATATATTGCTAAGTAGGAACAAGAATAAGACTGAATTTCCCACTAGCCAGAGTTCAGATTAAATGCTGTGGGATAATACATAGACAAATAAAGTTTAAAAAGTTGCTTTAAAGTTCACATAGGTCATCAAAGAGTAGTGACAGCTATTTCTGTAGACCTTTCATCCCTATGTGGAATAGTATATTCAGGCTAACATGTTCTTAAACATACTGATTTATTATAAATAGTTGCCCCATAAGAAAGAATCAATGGTTTCACACTGCTTCTAATATGCACCCAGTAAACCACAGCTCGGATATTGTGTGTGTAGCTTAACAATGTTGGTGCTGATTTAATATTAAAATTCTGGAAAATATCAAACAGAAGACAAACACGCTGTGTTTTAGTGTGGAAAATTAGGTCTCATGTTTAAGGAGAATTCTTACAGCCAATAGTCAGCTGAACAAAGACATAATATTTGTATTCTTTAGAACTACAGCTTAAGAAATACTAAATGTAAAACACCATGAGTATTACAAGAAAACATTTCACATTGAGAAATCTGTAGTAATTGCTTTCCTTTGAATTTAAGGTTCATTTTAAATGGAATTATGGGGTGTGTTTATTCCGTTGTCTTCTACGTATCTATTCCAAAGGAAATATGTAAAGAAATTTAGATATGGAACGTAGAATGGCACCAAAGGTACAATCTGAAACTTTATTTTACATATACATGCTTCCATTTCTACACACTGTATGATTTTAGGGCAAATTATTTGTCTTTTCTTAATTTAATTTTTCCAGCTAAGAAATAGAGATAATAATAATAGCTACTTGATAGAATGATTATAAAGAGAATTGAAACAATTTATATTAAATACCTAGCACATTTATAACATAGAGTAAGAGTGTATATAAACTATATACATGTATATATGCTATTCTCCTTACTATTATTATTATTAAGAATTGAATTGAAACTATATATATATATGTGTGTATATATAAGCTATTCTCCTTACAACTATTATTATTATTAACAGTTGAATCTCTGCTTTGTTATTGTGCTTAACAGGAAGATCAGGACATCCCTGTGAGAAAGAACTTTATGAGTGCCTTTCCAACTTACATGTTCATGGAATGTGCAGAGGAAGTGAACCTGGCGAAGGCTTGCCATGTTTATGCACACCTGGACTTGTGGTAAAACTTACTGATGGGTTTTGTTGTGATACATTTTTTCATCATCTTTGAACGAGAGGAAATACTGGAATGTTGCATGGTGACAAACGGAGGTTGGAGACGTTCCTCTCAGTACCTCTCTCCTTCTCTGTCTGCACTTACTGTGCCTTCTCACCATTCCCCTTCCCTTCTTCCATCCATCACATGCACTCTCAGCCCTTCCTCTCAGGAGAAAAGCATTCTGAGAGACTGATCTATACAAAGGTGCAAGTGACCAAATGCATTAAAACATTAAAGGGCAAGGAATTCTTATATTTGAGTAAAACATTTTTCTTTTTAATGTCAGAGAGGAATTACTTAATACCATCAGGGTATTGGCAGAACCTCCATTTTTCTCGAGGGCATAGCACTGTTACCAGGGCTGAGCTCAGAATATTGTTTGTCTGGGGAGGATGAATCTCCTTCTTTGGCAAATTTGAACAGGTGACTCCATTAGCACTAGAATAGACTTACCTGGTAGAAATATCTCTATTAAAAGACAGCTTTTGACCACAATCCTTTATTAAAGCTGACCACAGCATATGAATATATCAATAGTAAGGGAACAGCAATTGCCATGACTGTGTTGCCAGGAATTCTAAATGTATATTTATAAAATGTATATATATATATGTATAACTAAATCACTTTGCCATACACCTGAAACTACCACAACATAGTAAATCAACTATACTCCAATATAAAATTTAAAAATAGGGCTTCCCTCATGGTGCAGTGGTTAATAATCTGCCTGCCAAGGCAGGGGACAAAGGTTCGAGCCCTAGTCCAGGAAGATCCCACATGCTGCGGAGCAACTAAGCCCATGCTCCACAACTACTGAGCTTGTGCTCTAGAGCCCACAAGCCATAACTACTGAGCCCACATGCCACAACTACTGAAGCCTCCATACCTAGAGCCCATGCTCTGCAACAACAGAAACCACCAGAATGAGTAGTCCGCACACTGAAACGAAGAGTAGTCCCTGCTCGCTGCAACTAGAGAAAGCCCGCATGCAACAATGAAGACCCACCACTGCCAAAATATAAAAAATAAAATAAAATGAAATTTTAAAATAAAACATATATATTTATAAATTTGATTAATAGATGGACCAGTCTTAATCAAGATTAAGGCTAAATAATTAGAGAGGGTATCCAGTCAGGTGCAGTATTAAGGAATCACACGTCAAGGAAATGCGAGGCCTGGCCAGGGCTGAAGAAGGATGCCCAGGTATGAATGGGTCAGGGGACTCCTCAGAGCTGGAGGATCAGAAGCAGGAGTGTCCGGAAGTGGTTAAGGAATTGAGCAGAAAAATGGTTGATACCTATCATTGGAACACAAGAATTTGAGAAAACCTGGGTATAAATCCAATCTGTCTGAGAGGGACATGGGTAAACTAAAACAGAACTATTGTTTTCCTGTCTCTGAGAATCTTCCGGTCCAGGCTTTGCCTTGGGGAAAGAATTTTCCCTTAGTGACCGCAGGAGGATGATCTTTGAGGAAGAATTTCAGGCACTCTGACAACAGAGTGTGGGAGGTATTCAGTGCCAAGAAATTATTTTTGTATCACCTCAGATTACATCAATAATAGCTTCCTCAAGGAGTCAGTAGAAAGAGAAGAAGACTGAAATCTATCCTTTATTTAAGTAAATTCTTCTGCTAATGCAACTGGTATATAGAAAACTAAATAACTAGAAAAGAAATGATCATTTTATAGATTTTTTGGTTAAACAAGAAGAATTTACTACCAAATATCTTTAAAATTCCTTTGAGGTATATGTTGACATTGTAAAAAATATCCTGAAAAACATAGTTTTATAAAACCAGAAGTCTACTAATTAGAGGGAACTGTTACAGATATAATAAACCTATATTTTACTATGGCAATTAACAAATAAATTTGAAATGGATATTCTTATAGCCACTGTCTCACGTATTGAAAGCTAAAATAAAACTTAAAAACTTACAATCATAAGATATACTGTGTGGGTAAAGCCTATAAAAATATAAGAGGGATTCTACTTTTGTTAATGCATTTGATATGTTCTAAAATGAACAGATAAAGGTAGAGGTAACAATTTAGTGAAAAAGAATTTACAATTTATGTTGTACCTGTCAATGTTATAGCAGTATATAGACATTTTAAATTAAATATGACTTAAAGATATACCCTTGAAAATAGGATGTAAATTATTAGTTGGAATTTCAAAAGAAAAATGTTTTGCTCAAATATAAGAAAATCAGATATAAGATTTGCAAATATTGTCTCTCATTTAGTAGGCTGCCTTTTTTACTTTGGTAGTTTCCTTCACTGTGCAAGAGCTTTTTAGTTTGATGTAGTCTCATTTGTTTAGTTTTGCTTTTGTTTTACTGGCTTGAGAAGACAGATCAAAAAAAAATATTACTAAGACCTATGTCAAAGAGTGTACTGCCTGTTTTCTAACTAAGAGTTTTATAGTTTCAGATTTGATGCTTAAGTCTTAAATCTATTTTGAGTTTATTTCTGTATATGGTGTGAGAAAGTGGTCCAGTTTGATCTTTTTGTGTAGCTGTTCAGTTTTTCCACCACCATTTATTGAAGAGGTTGTTTTTTCTCCATTGTATATTCTTGCCTCCCTTGTCATAGATTAATTAACCATGAGTGTGTGGGTTTATTTCTGGGCTCTCCTGTTTCATTGAGCTATGTGTCTGTTTCTGTGTCAGTACCATGCTGTTTTGATTACAGTAGCTTTGTTGTATACTTTAAAATCACAGTGCTTGATACTTCCAGCTTCATTCTTCTTTCTCAACAGTGCTTTAACTATTTGGGGTCTTTTGTGTTTCCACACAAATTTTTAGAATTGTTTGTTCTAGTTCTGTGAAAAATGCCATTGGTATTTTGATAAGGATTGCATTGAATCTGTAGATTGCCTTGGGTAGTATGAACATTTTAGCAATATTAATTCTTCCAATCCATGAACATTGTTAAACTTTATGTGTATTTGTGCCTTCTTCAGTTTCTTTCATCAGTGTCATAGTTATTGGAGTACAAGACTTTTACTTTGTTGGTTAGATTTATACAGAGGTAACATTCTTTTTTATTCAATTTTAAAGGGATTGTTTTCATCATTTCTCTTTCTGATAGTTTTTTATCAGTGTATAGAAGTAAAAGAGATTTCTGTATATAAATTTTGTATCCTGCAATTTGCTGAATTTATTTACTAGTTCTAATAGTCTTTTGATTGTGCCTTTAGGATTTGCTATATATGTATCATGCCATCTGCAAACAGTGACAATTTTACTTCTTCCTCTCCAATCTACACTTATTTCCTTTTCTTGTCTGATTGCTGTACCTAGGGTTTCCAACACTGTCAAATAAAAATGGTGAGAGTGGGCATCCTTGTTGTGCTCCTGATCTTAGAGGCAATGCTTTCAACTTTTCGACATTAAGTATGATGTTGGCTGGGTATTTCTTATATGTGGGCTTTATTATGTTGAGGTTTGTTCCCTCTATACAGTTTGTTGAGGATTTTTTGTCATAAATGGATGTTGAATTTCATTGAAATCTTTTTCAGTATCTATTCTGATCATTGTATAATTTTTATTCTTCTATTAGTTAATGTGATATATCACATTGATTGATTTGTGGATATTAAACCATTCTTGTATCCCTGGGATAAATCCACTTGATTGTACTGTAGAATCATTTCAATGTATTGTTAAATTCATTTTGCTAATATTTTCTTGAAGACTTTTACATCTGCATTCCTTAGTGATATTGGCCTATAATTTTCTTTCTTTCTTTCTTTGTCTGGTTTTGGTATCAGGGTGATGCTGGCCTCACAGAATGAGTTTGGAAGAGTTCTTTCCTCTTCAGTTTGTTTGTGTAGTTTGAGAAAGATAGGCATTAACTCTTCTCTGAATGTTTGGTAGACTTGTTTGTTGGGAGTTTTTTGTTCTGTTTTGTTTAAATTACTGACTCAATTTCATTACTAGGAATCAATCTGTTTATACTTGCTATTTCTTCCTAATTCAGTCTTGGGGATCATACTCCTTTAGGCATTTGCCTTTTTCTTCTATGTTGTCCATTTTATAGGCATACAATTGTTTGTAACAACCTCTCATGTGGTGTTGGTTGTAACTTCTCCTCTCTAATATCACTTATTTAAGCCCTCTATTTTTATTGATAAGCCTGGCTAAAAGGTTATCAATTTCATTTATTTTTTCAAAGAAGCAGCTCTTTCTTCGTTTCAATTATCTTTTCTGCTCTTTTCTTAGACTCATTTATTTCTGCTCTGATCTTAATCATTTCTTTCCTTCTACTAACCTTGGGTTTCTTTGTTTTTCTTTTTTAGTCCCTTTAGGTGTAAGATTATGTTGTTTTCTTTATTTTTCTTGTTTACTGATGTAGGCTTGTATTGCTATGAACTCCCCCCTTAGAACTGCTTTTGCTCTGTCCCATAGATTTTGGATCCTGTGTTTTTGTTTTCATTTCATTTCTACAAGTATTTTTTTTTATTTCCTCTTTGATTTCTTCAGTGATCCATTGGTTTTAAACTCCAGGTGTTTGTGGTTTTTGAAGTTTTTTTTTTTTTTTTTCTTGTAGGTAATTCTATTCTCGTGGTATTGTGTTAAAAGATGCTTGGTATGATTTTAAACTTTTTAAGTTTTCTGAGACTTTTTTTGTGTCTTAGCATGTGATCTATCCTAGAAAATATCCCATGTGCACTTGAATATGTATAGTCTGCTGCTTTTGGATGAGCTATTCTATAGATAGCTATTAAGTCTATTTGATCTGATGTATCATTTGAGACCAATGTTTTCCTACTGATTTTCTGGCTGGATGATATGTCAATTTATGTAAATGTGGTGTTAAAGTCCCCTACTATTATTGTGTAACTGTTAATTTATTTCTTTATATTTATTAATATTTGCTTTATGTATTTAGGTGCTCCTGATTTGAGTGCACATAGATTTACACTTGTTATATCTTCTATTTTATT